ATACTATTAAAATATGGGCTAAATATTTTATACAATATTATAGTAATTTATTTAATATTTAATATTTATTTAATATTTATAAAATATTTATTTAATATTTATAAAATATTTATATAATATTTATAAAATATTTATATAATATTTTTAAAAACTAATTCGAAATAAATATTTATAAATCTTTATCAGAAATATTGTATGCTGTCTGAGTAAACCGTTAAAACATACAGTATGTTTGATAAGAGCGTGTACGGCAAAACTCAGAAACTTAGGATAATACATAAATTGAAAAAATTTGTACACATTATGCATGATATAGACTGCGATGCTTTATTATTAATAAGTTGTCCAGTCGCCTCCATTATCAATAATTGACTGGCATCTCCGAGGCATACTTTCTACTAATTTTACAGCATAATCTTCAGACAAAGATCTCCATATAAATAGAATCTGTCGAATTAACTGCTTGACGGTCCATATTTTCTTTCCTCGGAGCTTAAACTTTATAAGCGCCCAAACATTTTCAATTGGATTTGCATCTGGCGACTGTGAAGGCCAATCCAGTACGTCAACGTCATTTTCTTGTTTCCACGCAGTACAAAGTCTACTCCGATGTTTCGGATCATTGTCCTCTTGCAGTAGCCAATTTTCATTTTTCCTCGTAAACCACCTTTGGGCAGATGGTAATAAAGCTCTCTCATATATTTGGACCATTTTAGCAGCATCCAAATTTTGTGTAAAGATGTGTAAAGTGCCAAATCCCTGTTTTGAGAAACAGCCCCAGACGTGCACCTTTACCGGATGTTTAACGGTCCGCTCGATGAGTCTATTGGCCTGGGTAGACCAGACACGTCTGATAGAAGACTTTGCCCAAAACGAAGCTTCATCTGAAAAAATTACGTTGCCCCAATAGCGGTCCAAATTTTCTTTTGCCCAAGCAAGTCTTTTTTCGACGTGTTTTTCAGACAGCAACGGTTTCGTTATCGTGCTTCGAAATTTCACTTTATGAGCCAGTAAACGTCTTCTTATAGTATGACATGATATATTTAGACCCTTTTTAAGTAAAACCGCTTGCCCGCCACGCAATGATAAACAAGGATTCTTCTCAAACACCCGTAAAATCATTTTGTCCTCCTTTTTCGTCGTTTTCTGCACAGAGCCACGATCCGGCAAGTCATCAACGTTTTTGACCTCGGAATAACGTTTCACCCACTTACTCACAAACGCCTTAGACTTCTTCATATACTTAGCAGCCGCTCCGCGCGACATTTTTGGTCCTTTCGGATGCGAACATAGAAACATAGCTTCGTAACGTGATGCGTACGCGGCACTCATGTTGAAATACGCCCTTTTGTGACGAAAGTCAAACGATAACTAAGGCTTTCTAGACAAAGCATCTTGGGAGAAGAGCCCCGCTATTGGCTCGCGTTCATATCCCCCCTCTAACTGTTTCGAGGAAAAAGTTTTGCCGTACACGCTCTTATCAAACATACTGTATATAAAACCGTTCTCTAACATATTCTGAACTTTGTTTCATCTTAAACGTACATCAAAAGTCCATAAGATATACTGATGAGGATATCCGTTTCATGTTCAAAATCGGGTGTTGTATGGACGTCCACTTCATATCTCTGCACGGAAAAAAAGGTTTGGTTGAATTAACTAAATATCTGATCGAATATGAACGATCCAGAAATTCCGATTGAAGTAACCCGAATTCTGTTTAAGTTAACAAGATTTTTGGTTGACTTAAACAGAATTCAGATTACTTCAATCGGAATTTTTGGATCGTTCATATTCGACCAGGTATTTGGTGAATTTAACCAAACTTTTTTTTCCATGTGACATACGAACGTAAAATGGACATGAAATGGATGTCCCATGGGTGTCCTATGCTGTCTGGGTGAATTAAAGGATGGAAATAAATTAATTTTTTATATCTAATTATTTCTAGGTATACAGGGTGTCCCGCGTAAGACGTGCCAAAAGAAAAATATAAATATAAGTAGAACAGATAAAAGTGAACAAAAATCGTAAAGGTCATTTTTTAAACAACCACGTAAAATTTCGAGATATTAATTAAAATAGTTGGACAAATCAGAGCGCGGCGACGCGGCAGGCGAGACATACGGCTCGCCGCAGCCGGCGAAAAAAATGGACGATTGCTCGCGGGCCTATCTTATAGACCAGAGAGGTGGACCGTTTGGCATATAGAAATGGGTAGCTCCGTGTGTGCGTCCGTGTACGTGTGCGCTGGTCCATTTTCTTCGTCGATCACGGTGAACTGTATGTCCCGCCTACCGCGTCTCCGCGCTCTGATATGCCTATTTTAATTAATATCTCGAAATTTTACGTGGTTGTTTGAAAGATGACTTCTACAATTTTTGTTCATTTTTATCTGTTCTACTTATATTTTTCTTTTGGCACATCTTACGCGGGACACCCTGTATATCCTCATTTCTTTTTGAAAATTTCCTTTCTTTCATTTTTTACTGAAAATTGTAGAAAAATGTAGTTTAAATATAGTTGTTTTTCTATCATAATTCAGGCTATTCTACATATCCGGAGTATTTTTTCAAGAGAAATATGTTACGCAAGAAAAAAGTTTAATTATAAAATAATATTATGTGAGATTAATAGATTAATGAGTGTGAGAAACAAAAGTAAGAGGAATAAAATAAAATCCTCAAGTAATTGATTCATCTTTTACATTTATATATTAAGATATTTTTTTACAATTTAAAAAGTACCATTTATCACAAATTCGTTCCGGCAGATGTAACTGGCGAGGATATTATTTGGATATTAAAGATGATGTCACATCAAAAAATCATTAGAATTGTAGCAAAAATATCCTGAAAGCTGGTACTCATTATACAATACACTATCTCAAAAGGCCGCTGCTATACGTAAATTTTTTTAACTAAAAAACAAGTGTGTATTATCAATCACATTCGTCATCAAATTTCAGCATACAACCCAGATAACAGAACTTCTAAAAGACGTCTAAAGGACGTCTTACTTTTGTATATACTTTTAAGTATTTTTAAGACATCTTTTAGAAACTTCTGCTATTTGGGAAGTTATCGTGATGAAAGCCATCGAGATTATTCTAAAGATAAATCCATTCATGCGTTGATTCGGTGTGCCCAATGTTGTATTGATGCAAAAGAAATATATCACGAATAAATATTTTGATTATTAATAAAATAAACAATAGCTTTTTTAATTAGAAAATTTCGGTTTCTTTTCTGACATATAATTTATGGTGCATTCAAAATAAAGATATAAATTAAATATTTTTCAATTCAATTGATTTGAACAAATATGTTTTAATTAAATTTAATTAACGATTGATCCGAGCAATATACCAATCGAAGAATATTCAATTCACGATTGATTTCAACGAATTAAATTAAAGACCGTTTAACTGGCATGAGCAAAGAGAATCAAAGACCGTTTAATTTATATGAGCAAAGGGAATCAAAGATCATTCAATTAACTATTGAACTTACCAAATTTAATTAAAGACAGTTTAATTAACGATTTAATTTAACAAATTTAATTAAAAGTCGCTTAGTTGACGATTGATATGAGCAAATTCAATCAATTCAATCCAAGAGCGTTCAATTACTCAAAGTTATAATTGGTTTTGTGGATAATATTTATACTTGGAGTATTATGATATCGTGAAAAATGCCAATAATTGAGAAACACTAAGTATAGGGTTAAAAAGGACACTGGTTATATCAATCATCAACAAGCAATCTTCAATTGAATTGATTAAATTTGCTCACATTAATTGTTAATTAACCTGACCTTTAATTAAATTTGTCAAATTTAATTATTAATTAAACAATTTTTACTTCCCTTTGCTCATATTAATCATCAATTGAGCGGTCTTTAATTGAACTCGTTGATTGATTAATCATTAATTGAATGGTTATTAACGTGAATAGAAATAGGCGAAGAAATAGGTTAAGAAGATGAATTGTATGTCACGTTAATTTACGACAAATTATTGATTGTTAGAACAAAACAGTGCACGGAATATCTTACAAATTTGTTTAATCTATTGCAAGTGTTACTTTATGGAAATATATTTTTATTTTAACGTATTTTGCAAAAATTTTTAATATGCATTTTCTCGCTCCTGATATCATTGAAAAAAGACAATGCGAGAAACCAAGAGCCAACATTATGTCTAAAATCGTAATATAAGACGTCTTAAAAATCACCTTTAAGATGTTTTTCAGACGACTTACGTATAAATGTCTTTAAGGCGTCTTAAAGATTATCTTTAAGACATTTTATATCCCGATTTTAGACATTATGTTGTCTGGGAGCCTTAAACATGATAATTAATTCAAAAAGCAATTAATTACTCGTAACCCTGAATCTATTGTAACATCAAACCAATAGTATCCAATTGTGCTAAAACTAATATTGTTCATAATTTTTTGTGTCATGCCTTTTATGTTGTCTATTTTTTTCTTTCTATTGTTAATATGTTATATTAATTTGCATTGTTTTAATGTGCATTAATCTGTTACATAAGAATATTAAGTTAGATAAAATATTTTTAAAAAAGTTATTTCTCTCTCTCTTTTCTTTGTTTAAAATATATTAATTTTACTATTCTACGACGGAAAATAAGAAATGCAAATATCGTGAAAAAGTTGATTCTTGAGAAAACTAAACTAAAAATGCGCTTGAAAGATTACGATATTTTTAGATTTTTCCAATTCTTCATTTTTCTTCCTCCCCGCGTTGATTAAAAACAATACAAATTTACAATTCTCTGCAATCCTTTTTACAGCGTAATATGAAAATACTTTTTACAACCTATATTCCTATAGGAACCAACACCATATACACAAACTTGAAACTCTGCTATAACGTAATTACTATAACGTAATATTTAAAATATTTTGTTTTTATAGAGAAAATTAATTAAAATTTGATATTGAAGATACAGGGCACGCAATAAAAAAAGGTTAGTGTTATGATATAAATTTCCACTGTTTATTAATATGAAATGGTATAATGCAATAAAACATCACTTGCCATAACTAGTTTTGCATTTTCTACAATAACGATTTAATTTTCTCGCATGTTTATTTACAAAATAAGAAATATGAACCCAATGTAATAAAAGAAATAAATTGCTAGCTGTGTAAAACATACAGTCAGTTATAAAATTAACCGTAAACATCTGATTGTTAACGATCGAGCAAATATTACTTGAACTTCTCTCAATTAAAACAAAATCCATATATTTATTGTTAATACATGCAGAATATCAATGACGAACAATAAACATATAGGATATCCAAATTCACTGTTTCCCAAATACTAATAAAGATGCTTTATTACACTGAATGCTGTTTTCATGAACAGCTTGTGACTTTTATTATACTAATATATCATAAATATTTTCTTTTTAGTAATTTGATTCTGTTAGAATCCCTAAAGGGTATGTTTACAAATATTTTCGCTATATCTAGCTCCTTGCTATCACTTCCAATTTAGTGAAAATTTATGTTGATTTGTGTTTTCAATAAGCATATAATACCATTTTCACTATAAGGATTCTTTTATTCCATTCAGGAATTAGAAGATACACGTAAGTCAGTAAGAGGCTAAAATTACCTTGATATTTGCGATAAACTACAAAAAAAATAATTAAAAGACGTTGTAATAAGTATTTATCTTTGATCTAAACAGAATCGAAACATCTATTATTATTTATGTCAATAAATAACGTTATATAATGTTTATAACATCATAACATTTTTTTATATCTTATATATAGTTGTCGCAAAAATACCAGCATTTTAAACTCCTACGGACTCAATTGTATTTTTCAATCGTATATCTAAGATGCTTATACACCAATTTGTTCATTCAGAAATGACATTTTATATATCATTTTAACGTTAAACAATAACAGTTTTTAATTCGTGAAAGCAGGCGAACATATACACGAAACATCGAAATTGTATAGGCTAGCCATAGTAAAAAGACTGAGATATTAGTATCAAAGAAAAACACGAATTCATTTTTTTTTTTTAAATAAAAATACGAAATGTTTATCATTGACTGTAGTAGTTTATACAAGATGTCCAAAAACAATTGGACAATATTTTAACAGTGTATTCTGGAACTCAATCAGAGTTGAAAATCCTAATTAAAGAATATCGACGTCACAATACATTAAAAGTTATAAGCGATTAAAATGTGCTAATAATAACGAGTTTTAGCTCTTAAATACGTGTACACCAAATTACGCGATATTATTAGCACATTAATTACACTTAATACCTATTATATTATACTATATTGTAACTTCGACATTTTGTGATATTAGAATTTTCTACACTAATTAAATTATAGAACCCTGTTAAAATATTGCACGATATTTATCAGGCGTCACGTATTTTCTGAAAAAAATACACAAGTAACATTTAATACAAAACTTAATCTATAACTAGCGAGATATTCCGAATGTGTGTACGCGTTGATCAAGAAAATCTCCACTGATAAAATTACTTAAGGTCTAGTCTTCTCTTAATAGTACATAAATAATCCTTTATTGAAAGATTAAGCATAGTTTTACTGTACCTCGGGCTAATAAATTGCCCAGTTCCATTCTTTTTCTTGGCTTAAGCATTGAAAATATTAAAGTATTTAATTTTTACAGCATAAAAGCTGACATTAAAGCTTGTACAAAAAATAAAATTAAATGTTTTAATATAAATATTTTAATATTTTTCTCTCTTTTGTGTCTTAAGTAAGGGGTCGAAAGAGTCTCTCTGTACTGTGTCTTACAATGTTTCAAATGTGATGTGGCTTTGATACGTGAAAAAGTCGTGTGCCATCGGCTATGACAAAAGCGGATTGACTGAGCATCGATAATTCATCACGATTTCCAAAGTTGTCTAAAATATCTAGAGGTTAGAAGCCTTCTTGATACTGCTTTGAATCTAGTTTTGCCTGTATTACTTCCAATTGTCTTTTTGCTTCACACTGAGGGAAATTCTGCAGATCATAATACTGTGGTGCTATCATTAGCAACCAATCAGCTATAAAAAGATAAAAGATTAATGTAGAATACGACATCATATCAACAAAAACAAACATATTAAGCAGACGAAATAATATAGCAAAAGGTGAAATTTGTTATGATAAACAACTTACGTTTAATATCAGTGACTGTTCTGATATAATTTTTAGTAGTGAGTACAAATTCGTTATAAATAACCCATTCTGGTTTATGATCCAGACAACTACTCGGATGAAGTTGCACTACCTGATTGTCTTTAATGGTAAGATAATGTCCTGTTCTCTCTAAATGCGCTACCTGTTCAAATAAAAGCAAGGTTTATACACATTGACAAATAGAAATAGTATAGTAAGAACAATTTTTCTTGCGCGCGCGCTCACGCACGCACGCACGCACGCACGACATGCCATTATAAATTATATTTAATTATATTACATTACCTGCATGAAGAAACCATTAACGAGAGCTTTTCTAATATTAATGTAATAATCCTTTGAATTAAAATCAGTTGAAGTGCGTTTTAGTACAAATCTGTCCATTATTCTGCTCAACTGTTGTCTTACGTTATCACCGCTTTTCAATGATCGATAATTTACATAATTATCATAACACCATTGAACATCGTCCAAATCTGTAAATATTTTTCAAAAATATATATTTATTAAACCGTTTTATGAATTTAATAGTAAATATTAAATAAGTAATAATAATAATTATATATATATACATATATATATATATATATATATATATATATATATATATATATATATATATATATATATAAAAA